TGTGTGTGTGTGTGTGTGTGTGTGTGTGTGTGTGTGTGTGTGTGTGTGTGTATACACACTGTTTGCAGTCTAGTGATTTGACTGCATGTGCACAGGTAAATGAATAATCAAAATACACCATGACCTTATTTGTTTTTGAGGCTTTTATCTCCTGCTTCTGCTCACTGATCATATCATATAAACTGTGATTCTTAGATTTTGTGAAAGGTGTTAAATATTTCTGATTAAACAATAAAGAGTTTTTAAATAAAACTCTACCAGGCCTCATAAACTACAGTCTTTTTCTGTCTAACTGTATAAATACATTTTATGTTTTTCTTTTGACTGCTCCCTTCTGCAGGGGTCACCACGACAAGCAAACTAGCATTAAAGATTCAGTGACCTGATACAACCTGGGGGCCTCAGGATTACCTGACACGCTTCTGACCACTGAGCTACCACAGACTCATATTTTGTATTTTACGTAATACAAGTAAACTTGTAGATGCCTTTGCTGCACTGTCTTCCACCTCCTTGCATTGTGGTACAGTATGACAACTTTGCTTCAGCTATAACCAAGTAAAAATAATCCTCACTCTGTTAGAAATGTTTATTTTAAAAAAGAATTTTATACAGCTGAAACTAGATGTTTACATACACCATATAAAAAAAGACAATAATTTTTCTCACTTTCTGACATTAAATCAGACTAAACCTTTTCTGTTTTAGGTTAGTAATGGAGATAGACATTAGCTCCCTGTGACTCAGCAAGGAAAAGTGGGTAAAAGAAGGTAAGTGGGTGGGTAGAACCCTTGAAAGTCCTCCTGCTGTGAAAAAGTATTTAAGTAACGTTTACTTAAAGTAAAATTTTAATGACTTACATTTTACTATATTTGAGTAGATTTTTACACAGGTACCTTTACGTGCACTTGAGTAAAATTTCAACTCAGTAACTGCACTTTTATGTGTTATTTTATTTGTTTCCACTTTTGCCAGTACATCTATTGCAATTGATCAGTAGGTCATGAAGTAATCTTTAGTCCACATGTCAAACTCAAGGCCCGTGGGCCAAATGTGGTCCGTCACAGCATTTTATGTGGCATGYGAGTGCTCCAAAGACGTACTGTCTTAAAATAAGCGTCTGCTACTTTAAAGCCAGCATTGACCATAAACAACATCTCCTATAATGCATGTCAATTATTTTACCCATGGAATGATGGCATCCCACTATTAGGTGAAGGTGCACAGGGTTCAAAATTAGCTGCAGCTGGCAAAGTTCGCACTGGAAAAGCTCCATTTAGCTGCATTTTTGCCGGCTACTTTTGCTGCAGTTGTATTGGGAAGCTGGGAATTTCCCACTTAAAAGTTGTAAATTTAAACAGAAATGCTGTGTCTGACTTTCATGTGGTCAAAACTCATTAAACTAAATAAGCAAAGTAAGTTTAATTTACTCATACTTGTGTTTTTGATATGTGTACAAACAGTATATTAATATAAGTATGTATAAATATATTAAACATCTATCTATACATCCATCTTCTAACACATGGGATCAGTATTCTGGGTTTTGAGAACAATGAAGGTCTGGATACACTGTTCTGAGGTTTTCTCATTACAAGATTTTTCTGGCAGCTGTAGCAGATGGGAGTAGGGAGCAGAGAGTGAAGCCTTTTCCTTACTTTACTTAAAGCTGTCATTAAAGTAGGGGCACCAAATCAATTGGCTCGGTCAAAAACAGATTGAATAATTTATTCAGCCTTCTTAAAGCTAAAACTTAATGATACAGAACCCAGCTGGTTGAAGCAGACAGCCTGAGCCTGGTTCTGGTTCTGCAGGAGGTTTCTTCCTGTTAAAAGGGAGTTTTTCCTCTCCACTGTCACCACGGTGCTGCTCAGGAGGAGAGACTGTGATGAAGTGATTCAACACAATCTGCTGGCTTCCTTAGACAGATAACTTTTATCGACTTTTATGCAAATGTTTTTGTACAGTGGTCAGAGATGACTTTTGTTGTGACTTGGCACCATATATAAATACACTAAATAAAAATATAAACACAAAACTTTTGCTTTTCTTCCAGTTTTCATGAGCTGAAATCAAAGATCGAAGACTTTTTCTACGTACACACAAGACCTTATTCCTTCAAATGTTGTTCAGAAATTTGTGTAAACCTGTGTTAGGGGGCACTTCTCCTTTGTAGATAATCCATCCCACCTCGCAGGTGTGCCATATCAAGATGCTGATTAGACAGCATGATTATTGCACAGGTGTGCCACAATAAAAGGCCACTCTGAAATGCTTTGAATAGATTCTATTTGACATAWTTTTTTCTAAGTGGCCTTAATATGTTGCACATTTGTGTCTCTCACCGTGGTAATAGAGGGAGTCCTTACAATTGATCTCCTTTGCTTCTTTGGTTTTCTCACTTCAAAATCCTCATATTCAAGATCCTGAAATTATATAAAAAAATGAAAACCAAGTTAATGTTCAGAGCAAAACCAGAATGTATTATGTCAGCTAATAAATTATTGTGTGAATTTTAACAGACCAAGCTGATGACAAGTTTAATGGAAAGCAATTAAACTTGGTGTTAAAAACTTGACTCTACACCCAAAACCATTTCCAGGTGGACTCACCTGTCCCTGCACAGCGTCATCACTGACCTCCTGCTCTGAAGAGAAGCTCTCATACTCTTCCTCTGAGTAGTTATCTACAGCAAATAATAAATAGAAATATTAATGGAGACATATGCTTTTAAAGCCTTCTTCACATTTAAATCATTCAGCTGGAGTCTGTATAAAGTGGAACTGCAATGCTTTGGTCTGAATTCTTCCTTATGGGCGTTACATTTATCTAGTTACGCAGAAACGTTTCATTTACAAATTATTTAAAATATGTCAACAATGGAAGACTTGTCCATCCAACCTTACATGTTGGAGAAAGAGGAGAATGAAGACGAGGGAATTGTACGCCTTATTTGGCAGTTCAGTCGCAGATAATTGGCAGTAATAGTTCAGAACATGTCTTAGAAAATAGAGAAAACTGAACGGGTTGAAAAATATAACCCAGACAGAATRTAAAGATATCTATGMAGCACCAAGAGAAAACAGAATTCAACCTTTCTGCACTCCTAGAGACTCCAAAACAACAACAATGTAAATGTATTAAACAACTAAAAGAGTAGATTACAAWCACTTTATTGCTCAACTGCATAATAGTTCACAGAAAATAGGAGAAATTAACAAAAAGTAAGAAAAACTACACTGAAAATATACATAAATAATTGTTTATTGAAAATATTTTAATATTTTAAGCAAAATTTTACTGTGACCGTTCACTGAATAATTGGGCCTTCTCTGCAACGCCCTGAAGGTTCCCCTCTGTGCTGCACAAACAGTCGACAGAATCAAACTACAAAGTACTGAAACCTGCCTTAAAGCACAGAAACATGACTCCATTCAGTTCTGGGCAGGAAATTCAACAATTTAGAAATGTGCAATAGCTATGATACCCAGCTCTACTGTTCAGTTTCTCCGCAGGCCTGCGCTCTGCATGTCTAAAAATGAAAAAAAAAATCTAACACCCTGTTAGTTTTTTTTTTGTTTCATTTTTATTGTTTAAACTCGAACGATGATGAAACTGAATCCCGGGACTGAAAATCATTTAAYCTCAGACAAGAAAATAGATCAGCCTWAAAATGATCAAAGAACCTCCAGTCTACTGTAAACTGTAGTGTTTATATTGTTGTCATGTGGTTGGAAACACACACAGAGCACAGGCCTGTGGAGCGCACACACACCTGAGGGAAATAAAACGTGTGAAATGCCTAAAAAATATTTTTAATTCTAACTGAAAAAAAAAGTTGTCAACTCAGAATATTAATTCAGAACAGGTCAGCTGTGATGATTCCTCTGCTCCACAAGACGCAATATTTGCTGCGTAAAGTTGTGCGTATGGAGCTGTCAGCTGTTCCCAGTCCCACACCGTGGCAGGAACTCGCAGCGCAGACGCTCCTTACATCCAGAAAACAGACCAGAGTCATATTTCTGTGGATTCAGGTCAGATTTGTGACTTTGTGGGTTAAAACTGTCGACTGAAAAACTTTGCGTGGCTGCTGCACATTCTCACGGCAGGTGAAACCAACCACAGCAGGTGAAACCAACCACAGCAGGTGAAACCAACCACAGCAGGTGAAACCAACCACAGCAGGTGAAACCAACCACAGCA